GTGGTTGTACTAGTTTGCATTCCCACCAGCAGTGCTGGAGAGTTCCTTTTTCTCCACATCCTCACCAACATTTGTTGTTGCTAGTTGTTTGTAGATGTGCCATTCTCACAGGGGTGAGGTAGTTTTAATTTGCATCTCCCTTATTACAAGTGATGTTGAACATTTTTTCATATGCTTGTTGGCCATCTGCATTTCCTCTTTGGCGATGTGTCTTTTTAGCTCTTCTGTCCATTTTTTGATGGGGTTGTTTATTTTTGTTGAGTTTCGTCAGTTCTCCGTATATTTTTGTGATCAGTCTCTTATCACTACTTTTGTGTGAGAAAATGTTTTCCCAATTAGTGGACTGACTTGTGACTAATATTTTAGTGACAGCGTGAGATCTTGTCTCAAATATGTTTATTAACTATAGCTTAATACAATTTATGTACTGATATACATAATTGTTAAATGCTTTTTATTTTAAATTTTGAACTCAAAATGCACATACTAGAAGAGATGGTATACTTTTTCATTCATCAAAGGTTTTTAAGATAAATACAGACTTTCCATCAGTAAATCCATTTTTTAAAGGTAAGCCAATATTGTACTGTTTGCATTTGTTTCTTGTTTCTTTTCCCTACCTAGAAACGGTGGAAAGAACTTTCTAAGGAAGACTTATGTCCTGCTTTTGATCATTCACCAACCAAAATAATGACTGAAAAATATAATGGCAACAGGATAGGCCTAGAAGAAGAAAAACTGATGGGTGACAAATATACAGGACTATCCTCTAAAATGCAAGATGCTGTGGAGGAGAACAGTGAGAGGTAAGCTGGTTGCAATAATGTGGCTGAGAAGACTAGAATTTTTATTTTAATAAGTTCAATGGATGTAAATATAGGCCCCCCCCTTTTTTTTTTAAAGATTTATTTATTTGCACATACAGAAGTGGGGTACAGGTCAGAGGTTCAGGGGCGGCGAGAGGCTTCACCAGAGACAGAGTGGGGAGCAGAACAGGCAGATCGACGAAGTACACTGCTGAGGGGAGCAGCGGGCGGGTCAGGAGAGGTCTGCCACGCCATGTGGTCACCTCCGGGGCAGGGGGGAATCGAACTCATGTGGAAGTGGCTTTAGCTTCCCAATGCAGTGCTTTAACCCTCTGCGCCACCAGGGAGGGCCCTAAAAAGCTTTTCTTAATAATAGAATGTGAAAAAATAGTAGTTGGAGTCTAAGGGAATAAAATAGTTCAAGTGTCACAAATAGTAACATAAATTCTGTGTGTTTATATACATACTGTTTATATACATAAATGTATGAGTGTGTCATTTACAAACATGGACATATATGGAGCTACTCAGTTTTGATGGTAACATATTTCCTGTGATAGGTTGCTGCCAAGGGCAGGTTTGAAAACCAGTGTTTCCCAGAATGCTGTGATATGGATAAATGAAAAGTCATAGGAAACCTACTCCTGTGTATTTAAATATTATCAAGTGTGTCTGTTGAGACATATAATGGCAGTAGTCTGCTGTGTGACTCTGTAATGTCACAGTCTTCCATGGCCAATACAGGAAGTATTTTATAAAGACATTTCCTTTATAGCCTAAACTGTTTAAGCATAAGGGCAAACCCAGCTAAGTCATACTTGACATGCTATATTACACAGATATGGCTTCCTGAGGCCCAACCAGATTGAAAAAGATCTTATTTTGTCATAAATTGGGAATAATACTTTATGTCTTGGGGATTTTCTTAGTCTAAATAAAAAGCATCCCTTGGTATTTGTGTTTACTCCATTGTATGAAACATGCAGTTATCTTAGAGACATAAGCACCTCATTTCCATTATTTTATATGGAATAATTGTGTCCCGATCTCAACTGGTATCCCCAAGTGTAATAAAAATCTTCATGATTATATGTATAACCAATTATTTTAAACTCCAGTAGTAATCATATAACATTAAGTATGCTCATAATTGGGTTTCTTTGGTAAACTACATTACTGTACTATACAGGATAAAAGTTATAATTGTCTCCTGAATTACAATGAAAGGTAAAAATGAGACATGTCAAAGATTTTATCTAAATTGGAAACTAATTGATGATGACTCCAGGTTCCTGGCAGAAGCAAATCTAGGTGCCTATGAAAGGATAACTCCATGGGCTAGGCGCTTTATATACATTATTTTATGTGTTTTGTGTTCATTAGAATACAACTTACAATTATTTTTACTGGCAAGTACACACATATTTATCATAGTGGATTTTTAGCTCATAGAATGAATTTTGCTTATTAGTTTTTACAAGTCATTATAAGAAATGTTTAGATATGCTTCAGCACCACAGAACTTTTGTATGTGATAAGTAAAAGCGAAAAAGATATTAGAAAGTATTATCACACTTAAACAAAATATATTAAAATTGCAAATATATTATGGAAGGTAAACAAAAATTGTTAAATTAAGAACAGAAGTGTTTTTTAGGAGTTGAAAAGTTCATAGAGGAAATGAGAGGCCCAGAGAAAAGAGCACATTTCTGGAGGGAAGCAAATTTGGAAAAACTAAGAACCAGTTGGGCAAGAGCAATGTTGTACATAGCAAGGCATATACTTTCAGTTGCCTCATGTATGTACCTAGCAATGTAACTGCTTTGTCATACAATAACTATATGTTTAATATTTTGAGGCACTGCCAAATGGTTTTCCATAGTAGCTGTAGCATTTTACAGTACCAATAGCAAAATCTGGAAGAGTCCTATAGTCTAACAATATTTGGCATTAATAAAGTAAAACACTATAAAATATTTTACAGTACTTTAATTTCTCTGTAAAAAAAATTGACCTTATAACTTAAAAACATAACTTTAGTGAGATAATTTACATACCATAAAGTTCATTCATTTAAGGTGTACTATTTAATGGATTTTAATATATTTAGAGTTGGATAGTCATCACCATAATCTAATTTTGGAACATTTTCATGATCCTAAACTCTATTTAAAAAGAAAAGGATCTATTTGAATATCTTGCATAGTACTGGGTTGAGGCATTCCTAAGTTTCCTTTAGCCTGAAACTGCTTACCACGTTTTTTTCTCGATTAACATCAACATTTTTGCATCTTGTAGACCAGTTCTCTCTTAAAAAAAGAAAAGCCCTATAAAAGCCTTGTAACCAGGGTTCCTCATATTTAGATTCAGATATAATGTCTTAACCAGGAAAAAAGTTTAATATAGTAGACACTGAGAAAGCATTTAAGGTGTTTTAAATGATTGGGTTGTTGGAAAAGTTCTGGCACATTTTTGCTTGAAAACCAGAAAATATACATCATGACTTTCCTGACCACCTAAAGCATTAAAATCATGTTTTTGAGAAATTACAGTAGATATGTTTAATTTGGAAGCAGGAAAATTGAGTAAATTTGCTATAATGTAAGCAGTAAGTGAAAAGAGAGGGTTGATTTTGAGAAATTTTTTTTTTCTTTGAGAAATTTTTTAAAGGGAAGAAATTCTAGCTAAAATGTTGCCATTGGCCAATCTGTTTGGAGTCAAAGATCTTCTATTGGAACAAAAATACTGTACTGAATAGAAAAATGGGAACATACCACGTATAGACAAACAGAACAGGGGCACTCTCAGCAGAATGTTCAGGAACATTTATTAGATAGATTCTGTCAGGTGCCTTTGAAAAATCAGAGTTAAATACTAACAGAGAGAATATGCTAGAGAACACACATCTTCCCATTTCTTCTAGAAAGAAAGTAAATTGATAGTTCTTGTACATGTTTCAAGACAATAAAGCACTAAACTTTGGGGTCCTACTGAAAGTATGTTAATATGAAACTACCATAATTTTTTCACTGAATTATCGGAGTACATCCCTAGACCACTTAGAATATTGAGGTTTTATCTTTTTTTAATTCTCATGTTTGAATGAGAGCAAGAGAGAATATGTATGCAGGGGAGGGGGCTTATTTGTGTTTATTAGGTCCTCAGTATTAAACTCTTCTTTTTCTTTGTTTTCATTTATATAGTGTTCTACGGAAACGTATCCGAGAGGATAGAAAAGCTAATACAGCTCAGAAGGTGCAGCAGATGAAACAGAGGCTAAATGAGACTGAACGAAAAAGAAAAAGGTGGTTATATTGGCAACCTATTATCACTAAGATGGGGTTTGTGTCAGTCATTTTGGTTGGCGCTTTTGTTGGCTGGACACTGTTCATTCAGCAAGCTCTCCTATAATTAACTTAATTTTACCCAGCAAGCTTCTGCACTAGTAGCTAGTAGTGTTGCATTAATTACAAGGGTTTGTCTGTTAACAAATTCCTCATTCCCCAAAAACAGTGCAATAGAATAGACACCAACCAGAGAAGTGATGTATTCAGTCTCAGCCCAACATCTCAGGACGCTGCTCCCAAACTGTAAATGGCTACCTAAAATAAAGACTTTAATGCTTGTTTAAAACTGGTACATTTTGCAACTGTATTCATACATGTTAGGCATATTTCACCAGACCAGACTGAAAAAAATCCTTTATCACAGGATTTGTTTTTGGAGGCTATTTGGATTTTAACCTGCACTTGATAAAAGCAATAAATATTATGGTTTTTATCTACATTATTACTAGAAAGTAAAATGATCTTTAAATAATGTGTGTATTGTATAATGTACTATTGATATGGACATCAACATTTTATATTCTTAAACATTTCAGGGTAAATAAGGTTTATAAGTATCTACTTAATCTTTTGTAGTTAAGTAAACTTTTTAAAAGCTCAATTTGAAAAATATGTTACCATAAAAACAATAAAGTGTGTATTGATTCAATTGTACTGGATACATTTTCCTAAAGAAAAATTTGATATGAGCAGTTAGAACTCTGAGTAAGCAACTTTTACTTTATATTTGCATTTCTTTTATGTTTTACAGTTTTCCCAATTTTAAAAAGAAAAACAAAGAAACAAAATTTTTCCCTAAAAATAACTTTGAAGGAAAATTCTCCTTACTGGCATAGTCAGGTAACAGTTGGTCAAGACTTTGTAAAGAAATTGGTTTCTGTAAAGCCCATTATTAATTCTGTCTTTTTTTTTTTTTTTCATGAAAATTTCAATGTTAATTATCCTAATTTGCAATTGAGGTAAATCACGATTTAGGAGATAAGTATAAAGAGCAGTTATATTTCAATTTACTAGACTGAAGTTTTGAAGTAAAAATATTTTCAGGTTTTTTCTTCAAAATAATTTACTTCAATAAATAGTATGATGATGTACAAACCTTACATTGTCCCTTTAACTTATTCATGGGTGTTTTTTATATTGTTTATTGAATTTAACTGCTCATTTGAGTGCTAGCTTTCTTCAGATCCCAACATTCCCTTCAGTGTTAATTTGTTTGACTTTAACTAGTTGTTAGAATTTTAAATCTCAAGTTATAAAATCACATTTTGGTGATTTTTCAAACTCTGCTTTTCGGATTTCTAAGTAGTCGCCAAGAAGTAGTGGGGAAGACTCAAAGCTACCAACCTTTGCTTTCAGCCAAACCATCTTTTCTTTATGTTTTATATACTATGTAAGATTTCTGCATTAAAAAAAAAGTATTTGAAGGGGACGGTTACAATTTTTAAAATGGTTTGAAAACTATTGGTATAGCTATTTTGAGGCAATGTGAGTAACCTTTCTGAATGTGTTTAATTATACTGAAAATGTGAAAGCAGGATGTAGGTAATACTACATATTAAATAAGATTTGTATAACTTGTCCTGTGTCATAATTCAGTATTACTGAGTTCTATAACCTTTAAATGGAAAGGAGGTAAGAGGGACCTTTCTTTACATCTGTCTGCATTAAACCTGTGTTCAGGCACTAAGACCCTAACATTTTAGGTCATTGTTTAAACTCTTTTCCAAATTGCCTTGGTTTACTTTTGCTAAAATTCAGTTTGTTACTCTGTCAGTCAAGTATGAATAAACCATGCTAAATTTCTTTTGAGGACAGACTTGTTTTAAACAAAAAGATAAAAATTTCTTACAGGAAACAAATGACAATAACCATGCACATGGCCCCTTTACAGAGTAAATTGGACTCAATATTTCAGCTTTACTTTTTGTCTACCTTTTGCACTTCTGGATGGTGTTTCTCATAAGTGTTCAGGATAGAGAACAATTAAAGGTGAACTTCTTCAAGAATTAGTCATCTTTCCTCCTCCAAGCAGTTCCTTATGGATAGTATGGTTTTTACCAGTAATATTACTTTCAGTAGATGCCACCTACTAGTTATTTAAAATTCTAGTTTTAAATAAACTAGAAGTAATGGCATCAAGTAAAAATGCACATTGATTTAAAAAGCATTTTGTGACATGGGATAATACTCCAGTTTTATATCCATTCCTTTTATGCTTTCAGCATCAATTCAGGGTGATGGTGACTTCCATTTACTGACCATTTACTGTGTGCCAGTCACTATGCTAAGAATTTTTACTATATTATTCTGTTTAATCTTCACATCAAATTTTTAAGGTAGGTGTGAATGATAGCAATTATTAAACCATAATCTGCCCGAGATTTGACATTTTGGTGGAACTATCATTGAAAAGTCTCGTGTGGATATTGTATTTTAGAACAAGGTAATTCCCAAAGACTTTTCTTTTGTAAGTCATTTCCCTCTCTGATTCTGTTTAAATAGATCCAGATCAGCTAATTATAACTATTTTTATTGACTATTATATCCTCCTTTTTAATGAATACCTGTGGTTTTCAAAGTGCCTGCCTATATATTGTGCAGTTTAAAATATCTGTTCTGGTTCAATTTCTACTTTACAATACAGATCTTCTAGAGTTTTTTTTTTTCATGTCTGTTACAAATCTAGTGTCATTAAATATATCACCGTTTCTCCCTATGTTCCAGCTCGCGTCTAGGAATTGCTCCTTTAACAGAGGCTTAACTACCAGTAAGCTCTTGTGGGTCAGTAGGGTGGAGAATAGAGAGGAAATCTGTAGCACACTTAGCAGAGGCAGGTTCACTGAGGGCAGAACTTGATGTGCCTTTCCCTAACTGGAACTAAGTGTACAGCAGATCTATCTGTGCTACATTCTCATTTATCCACTGCCAACAACTAAGTCTTTTTTACTTTAAGAAGCCTTTATTTGACTTTAACTTCCTTCAATCATTGTGGAAAAAAAAAATGACAGATAAAACTTGGAAAAATAGAATCATATCTTCCCACCTAATAAAATTAAGTTTTTTTGACTTACAATATTGATTTTGGTCATTCCTGGATGATTATTCTGGAGGTGACCTGTTTCCTTCATCTGTTTTCCCAGTTCATATGTTTGGACTTGATTCCACTTTTTCTTATTTCTGTCTTCAACGGACTCACAAGCTGTTTATGGGACAAAATACCAATATCCACTACAACAGTGGATAATTAGGAATTACAGCTACCTCTTCTTCCATTGAAGATTTGAGTGGTACCATGCCAAAGTGGGGAGACCCTCGGGTTGTGTAAGTCTCACAAATACCTGCTCAGGTGGGAAGCCTCAGCCAGACACTGCACGCTCACTGATTCCATGTACCTGGCTATAATAGAGCCATTTCATTCTTTACCAAAATTTGGGGATTTTAAGTTACTCTCTTTCATAGGTAGTGTTCTAAAGAAAAAACTTCTAGGAAAATAGTATGAATTTGGCTGTCTCGTTTTTCTCTCAGCAGCAGGAATTTTCTCAATATTCACTACGTTAAGATTGTTCCAAGAACAACATTGAGCAATTCTGCACAAACGCTTTCCCTCAACAGTCTTCAGAGAACGGTTACCTCCTTTCACTACTGGATTCTGGAAACACCTTGGGAGAAAATTTCTGTCTTAGTATCATTGCTATTCTCTCCTCATGTTGTGTGCTTTTTACTGCATCACAGAGCATTGCCACTTCAATATACAAGAATTATTTGCTGGCTTGAGAGGCTTTGTCTTTATCAGTACTGCCTAACAATGAAAAGATTTGAAAAAGCTCAGAGCATCTCTGTGCAGTCCACTTGGAGAATGAAAGTTCAGTCTTTGGAATTCCTTTTATTTTGGTTTCATAACTAAGAGTGGAATATGGGAGTTGTAGGGTTTAATACTGTTTATAGAGTATGCAGTAATGTTTTTCCATTACATAGAATGCTTTAGGGAGCTGTAAGGAGAGTTACATTTCTTTAAAAATTGTAAAGCAAAACATCAAATTCTTTATAGTCATTTTAATTTGGCTTAGTGTTTTCTGTGTGTGTGTGTGTGTGTGTGATGTGCTGCTTGTTTATATTTTAAATTTCTACTATGCAGACAAGTTATTTTGAGTTTGGTGACTTCAGGAAAGGGAATGTAGGTAAGTTGATTCTGTCTATAAGCAGTGCTTTTTTTACTTTAGAGAAATTTTTGTGATTCTTTTCAGTAAAACAGTGTGAATATGTAGTGGCAAAACTTAGCTAGGTACAGTTTGGTTTGGTAACACTTAAGTCATGGAGCTGGCCTGTGGAGGTTGTACTGCTCCATTGTAAAGTGACCCATGCACTCCCCAGGATGATATGTGGAAGGGCAGTGGGCAGTGCTGTGGGCCACTTTGTCCAAGAGCAATACCAGAACCACTGATCCTATTTGATTTGTTTGAGCCCTTTTTATTTTTGTTTTGTTAAATAAAACAACAAATTTTAACATATTTTTCCTAAAATGAAGTCCACTTTGTCTGCTAAGTCTTTCAAATAGTCTTCTGAAAATAGTTAACACTATTCCAGTATTTTCATCTTCCTGTATTTTCCCTGAGAATATTTACAGAGAAAAAAAATGTGACTTTTCAACTTTTAGTTGTAAATTACCACTCTTTCTCAGTAAGAGTATCTTGAATGCAGATGCTGTGGTGCAACTGTATTTTGAATACGGTTTTGCCAATTATTCTGAATTCATAATCTAAATCTAACGTGCATAATAACTCTTCTAGATATGTCATACTATCCTGATTTGCAAAAAAAAATTGTGTCAAAGAATTAATAACTTGCCCAAGATCACACAGCTTGTGTACCGAGATTCAAGTTCTAATCTGTAGAATTCCCGTTAACTCCAAACTTTATACTTCCAATTTGTTACACTTACTCTGGCTTTATGGAATATTTAAACCAAATATTTAAATAGAGAAATACTTAAATCTAGAGTTAATCTGCATTACTTTTAAGTGGTGCAAATCACAATTTTTACCAAATTTGAACTACCATTCAACCAGTGAAATGCTGAAATAGCAGAATACTTTTTAAACCTGCCATTATTTAATTCACTTTAATTGATAGCAGAAGTTCTTGCATTTTAGAGAGCAGGTTTCTTGAATGCATGGGAAATAAGTACATAGTACTCAGCATCAGAATCAATAAGAAGTGACTTTTCCTGGTGCAATGATGTCAGTAAAGCTTCCATTGATCACCTAATAGGCAGCTGTAGTTGGGGCCCACAGACATCTAATGAGATTATTTTCTTGATTACTTGACATTTCTCTGTCAGTTCTGTAAAAGCAGGTAAAAGGTATTCAGAAAACCTAGGTGCTTATAACTACTATGCTGTCTTCAATAGAAGTACCAACAGGCAGGAAGAAGCCCAATTTACAGTAGTGGAAGAATTTTCACTAAACATGTGAATGTGATTTATATTTCCTACTTATGTATATACATGTAGAAATAGAATGACCAAGTTACATTTGAGTGTTGGGTTTTTTTGTGATAATGAGGAACATTGGGGAAGAAAGGAATTACTATAGACCTCAAAATTGTAGCTATTTGAAATTACTGTGAAATAACAAATATTCAGTCTGCCCTTAAACTAGCTATTTTTGTCTATTGCTTGTTTAAACTAATTTTTACTTTTTGACATTAAAATACAATAAATCTGTCAATTATTTTATGTCTGTGTTTTCTTTCATAATAGTAACTTAAACCATGTTACTTCAGTTCTATAATGTTATAATCATAGTGTTGTCCTTTAAGACCAAAAGTATATGCTAACAGTCCATGATTTAAAGATATAAGCCAAATTTATGTTCATACATTACATTCATAATATTTTTAGCAGTATGATACAGTGGAGGTCCCAAATTGGATTAGACTTTTGCATTGAATTCCAAAGTATTGGTAAGTCTAGCACATATAATCTTGCTAAACTGTTGTGGGTACTTTTTTTTAAACCTGTCTGTCTGTCAGTATTTCACATAGAAGTTAATTTCTTATGTTATGCAGGATGACTTAAAAAAATACTTAAGTGATTTTTGAAAAAGAATGTAGATTCTGGTGCGTTAACATGAGTCGACCTCACACCACCAAGTCTTTTAAAATATAGCATGTAGGCAGTTTTACTAAATAACAAGAGGAACACTTAGTGTGGTTGTGATATGTTGGAATGTTTTTTGGTTCCCATTTGAGTTCTTGTCCTTTTATGTTTGTGTACATCTATGTATGTCAGTGTGTTTGGTAAATATGAATTGAATAGATGACTTCTTATTTTATGTTTTAGGCCAAGATTGACAGACACCTAAATATTCATGACTTGAGAATATTCTGCAGCTATAAATTTTGAACCATTGATGTGCAAAGCAAGAACTGAAGCCCACTCCGGAAACTAAGTGAGGCTTGATAAAACCTGTAGATTGCCTCATATTTGTCTGTTTACAAAGTAAACTTACATCCAGGGGATGAAGAGCACCACCAGCAGAAGACTTTGCAGAACTCTATAATTTGATGCATTGTTAAGTTTTTTAATGTGTGTATGAAATGTAGGAAGATGTAAAAGAAATAAGTTAGAAGAGACTACTTTGTATTGTACTGCCATTCCTATTGTATTTTTATACTTTTTGGCAGCATTAAATATTTTTATTAAATAGCCTTGGTTTGTGTGCATTATCTTAGGACAACTCTGCTCCAAATAATGAGTGTTCTTTAATAGATTTACTCTCCGGGTTTTATAATTAGCAGTTGACACTTAAATTGAAATTGGTTCAAAATGTTGGTCACCTATTTTTTTTATTTTTCTTTGGTTATCTCGTAATAGCCTTTCGATATAGGTTAAATGATAGGCACAAAAGAAAAGTTAGACTTTCTTTTATGACTTGGAAAAATAAAAATAGATAATTTCCTTCCTGTCAAAATTAATTTCAAATTCAGTGCAGTTTTTTTTTTTTTTAATCAATGTGAATTCTGTGATCCACAAGCATTTCCTGTTACAGAATACCAAGGGCTCCCTCCTAAGTAAAGCTTTTGTTCTCTTTACTAATTTCCCAGTCAAGTGATGGACTTGAGTTCTGTATCCACTCGGTTTTAGTTACTAATGATATTCAGAGATATCAAATTTCTGCATCATGTGAACATCACGTTAAGGATATAACAACTCACAATTGTTTTTCTGTTTTCCCAACTGTGAGTGTTTTATAATACTGTTCATTGAATACATCTATTTCATCTATTAATGTTACTTGCCTATGTTCCTTTCTGCCTTGCCTTCCTGGACTTTTGGTCTATATTAGTAAGCAAGCCATCAACCCTAAATCTTCCCTAAAAGGCTGCATGAAGGATACTACAAAGTGGTACAGCAGGATAATCTTCCCATTGTGTCAATAAAGCTTCTTGAAAAAGTTACCTATATTCAGTCACCTATTTCTTCATTTGCCATGTAATCTTTACCACAATAAGTGTGACTTTCCTTTTATCACTCTGAAAATGACCCAGAAAGTTCTTAGCTTGTACTACAACAAATTAAGGTTTTGTTCTTCATTCTTGCCTGAACTCTTTCCTGAACATCTCTTCTGGATTTTCCTCATCTTGCTTCTTCATAACTTTTCTTTTAACTTACTGTATAAAAGCACTTAGCATGAGATCTACCTTCAACTAATTATAACCCATTATCAGTGACTAACTAGTATTGAACAATACATCTCTAGTCAAACTTTTTCACTTTGCTTAACAGAAGTTTATGTCCAGTGCTTATTAGCCCTCCATTTCTCCCTCTCACTAGCTCCTGTCATTTACCATCTATGCTTAGGTCCTATTAGACTATCTTAGCTAACTTTATATAAGGAGTCATGCAGTATTTGTCTTCCTGTAACTTTTCTCAATATCAAGGTTCATTCATATACTGGCATATTGCAGAATTTCTGTTTTCAAGACTGGTTCCATTTTGTGTTTACATCATCTGTCAATAAGTAGGTTTTCATATCTTAATTATGAATAATGCTACAGTGAACCTGATTTCAGGCATTTTGAATAAAGTCCCAGAAGTGGCCTTGCTGGGTCATGTTATACCCTAGAAAATTTTTTGAAGACCATCCAGTTCTATAGAGCTACAACAGTTAGCTTTCTCTCCAACAGCACAAGGCTTTTAGTTTCTCCACATCTTCAGTAATACTTGTCTTTTTCCTTTTTTTTATTGAATCAGGCAGCATCCCATCTAGCAAGTAGGAAGGCACTGCCTATCTATAAATAATATCCTAACAGGAAATAGAGTATTTTACTGTGGTTTGGTTTGCATTTACCTCGATCAGTGATGTTAAGCATATCTTCATGTACCTATCAGTCATTTGTCTTTGGAATAATGTCTGTTAAGATTCTAAGCTGATTTTTTAAACTGGGTTACTTCCCTGCTATTGACCTGTAGGAGTTCATATTTTAGAGGTTAACCCTTTATTGAACACATGGTTAAAAGAGGTTTTTACCCATTCAGTTGGTTGTCTTTTCATTCTGTTGATTGTTTCTCTCCTGCCTTACTCTTGAATGTTGGCATTCCAAGAACGCCATCTTTAGGACCTTTGATAGTTATAATTTTAATCCCCCTTGAATGATCTCATCTTTGCCCAAGTCTTCATCTACTGTCTCTCTGCTAATTATAGAAAACTTCAACTCTGATCTAGTTGTTAAGCCCATACATGGATAGTATCTCCATCTCCACCCCTTCTTCCTCCTGTTTCCCATTTTATACGGTGGCCCCACCAGAAACCTGAAATTCATTCTGAATTGTTCCACTTAGGCTCTCCAGCCAGCCTGTCACAAAGTTCTCCACCTTGAAGAGCTCTGACAGTACTCCTGCTTTACTTTAGACCTTCACTACATACGTGGGTTACAGCGATACATTGTCCTGCCAACTGTGGCACACCTGTTTGTGTCAATTTACTCTGCACAGCCTCTCAAGTGATAAAAAGATCTATTACCACACTTAAAAGTCTCTAATGACACCTTAAGGAATTTTGCTGTCATTTTAAATTCTACACCAATAGCTTGTAGCACCATGTTTTCATGTGGTTGCTGCTGAAGACCAGCCTCAGCTGAGGTAGTGAGGGTCTCTGCAGGAAAGGACTGCAGGAGAAGGAAAAAGAAGAGAGAAAAGATAGGGTAAAAAGGTAAAAGAATCTTCTGCTAATTGTCCCAGCAGGTCTTTATACATTACAAGCAAGTGGTGAGATTACATCAGCATGTGCATAAAGCAGAAAACTTAGCAATCATCACATTTTTCTTAAAGAGGGCTCAGGACTTTTTGATCTCTTATTGAGATTGTGATATTCATCATTCATAAAAAGTACAATTGATACACAAGATGTTCCTAGTGATCAGTCATTAATAAAATATTCCTATTGTGATCAGTCATCAAACGAAATATTCCTATAGTGATCAGTTATCAAACGAAATAATTCTATGGTGATCAGTAAACAATAAAATGTTTCTCTAGTGATCAGGTAGCTACCACAACTAAAGCAATCATTGTGTTAATATCTCAATGAACGTATATCTTAAAGGTACAGGATCTAATGTTAAGAAATCAGGAGTCTGAAAAACACCAACGCTGAGTGCACTGACATTTCCCTACCCCAAAGGGAAAAAAACCTTTTTTGACTTATAAAAGCTTCTATTAATCACTACTTCTGCAATTGTTTTGTCAACCTATTCTCTACATCTAACATAAGAATTAGTGGAAAATTTCTTTATGGTCACTTATTAATCTTACCTAAAAAACATTTCTATGTGAAAAAGGGTTGGGGTGAAAGAGGAAAGAGTAGGAAAACTTCTGAAAATGAAACTGTTACTTAAAACTATAGATTTTTTATTGGACTCTAGGCAGGAAATTATTGCAGCCTTTGGTTCCCAGAATTCTTGGACTGTGAGATGTCTCTCATTGTGGGACCCAGATTTGTGCCAGCCCTTTCAAGCAGAGGAGTATTAATTATTTTACAACAATTGTGCCGTTCTGTGTACAATGCTATTGTTATTAAACCAATCAATCCAATGAAGTAATTATTGATTTTATGTTGACTGTATATTTGGACAATTGCTATGCTTCTTGGGAATGGCCAAACACAAATCATACTTCTTGGAAACAGCCATAAACAAACAAAAAGGATCCAGCAAAAACCAGCTGTGGAATATTCTGACTTTTCAGGGTTTTTTCCCCCACGTCAGGATCTTCTCATACAAAAGGAGTACCATAGCCCTCGCCAGGTTACCCCTCAGTCTCCTTATTGAGCACCTACATTGCAGGCACACCAAACTCTGGAATTAGTCTTCCTCATTTGAGTGAATACTGAATATTTACTGTGTACAGACACTGTACTAGGCATTGCTTATTTAGATGTAAGAGGAGAAAACATGATATACTGAAGTTCACAGCTTGTAAATAAGCATACCTGCAATGAAAATTGATGTGCTGTGATGGAAATAAACAGAGGTACCTACTTAGATAAAGAGAAATGATCTTTCAAAACTAGGAAAATCAGAGGCAGAGATAATATTAAGGAATATTTGGGCACTAACCCTGCTGTTCCTTAGATAAGAATGTGGCCTTACAAGAAGTTTGTTTGAAGAAGGGACCACAGTGTTTGATAACATTTTGTTAGATGTGCCTGTATTGCCAATGTATGGTCTTTTAGTATCACCATGGAAGCCACAGTTTTGAAAGGACAGTGGTAACAAGAATCCAGAGTTTACAAATCTGGTGAAACAGCCCGGTGGTCTCTGACTCATCTGAATTTTCTTGAAGCCAAAGAAGTACCTCTAAATTGTTACACCTGCCTTTACCTGTTATGATCACCTTACTTTTGATTAAAAAAATAAATTTTTTTAAGATTGATTTATTTATGCATACAGAACTAAGGTATAAATCAGAGGTGAAGGTCAGTGAGAGGCTTCACCAAAGGCAGAATGGGGGGAGGACAGGCAGATGGACAAAGTATACTGCAGAGGGGAGCAGAGGGCGGGTCAGGAGAGGTCTGCCGTGCCATGAGGGTCACCTCAGGGCTGGGAATCGTACTTGCACTGAAGCATCTACCACTAGCTTGCAGTGCTGCGTCCTAACCCATTGCACCACCAGGGAGGGCCCAATACAAGTTTTTCTTAATTGAATCAGGAATTCAGTTTAACTTTATGGGTTTTGGGATGAATTTCTTCCCAACAGGACGTAGCCCCGCTGGAAATGCTCCTGTTGTGTCAAAATGAGATTGGTATGAAAACCTTGTCACTGTGTTTTCACTTGGAGGGAATGTTGGGAAACCCAAGGAGTGAGCTCTTTCCAGATGGCAAGATACATTTGGGTAGGGAGGCGCTCTAAGAACAAACCGTAACAGTAAAATTTCTGCTCAGTTCCTGACTTAATCCAGATTCTAGAAACAAAATTCTGTTGGTCAGTGGGAAAGGGGACCTCCCAAGGATACCCTCTAGCGGCTGAACTGAGGAATTCCAAGTTTATGTTAACTCACTTTAGGTATAGAGGAGAGAAGCTGAGAAATACTGAAGCAGGCTGTGGGGGTTGAAGGGAGAAAGAAATCAGAATGGCTGAAGCAAAAATAATGTTAGTCTGTATAAATGTTCCTGTTCTCACAGAAAAGATTAGAGCTAGAACTCTGTA